TGAAACTTCAAACGTCTTATCAGGAGACCGGTTTGCTCGCTATTCAGTGTATCCGTTTGTTCGTCTTCCTCGAGAAACACAATTCTTCCATTGAATTTTCTCGTTTTTCTCGGAATAGTCAGGGAAATTCCGAGTTTTCAATTGACATTTTGAGATTTTTTTTTCGGATTTACAATGAAATTCGATTTATTAGCATCATTTATATTTATTTTTTAGTTGTTTCGGGGAGGGTTTCAGGTCAAGAACAGTTGAGAGTATAAATCAGGTGGATGCGTAGGCTGGGGCAAGACGATATCTTATGAATTTTTGGCAAGAGATGTGTTGAAGAGTGAGGAAAACCTCAAGTCCGTGCGGAACTCACGTATTTTTGGAGCTTCAGGACTAAAATAATTGTGCCATGAGTCACATGATTACGTGTTATTTTTATTGATATTTAAATGATTTTATTGCTGCTCATTGTTATTCTGGGGGTGGGTAATTGTTGACATTACGATGTGGTAATTGTTCGCGTGAGTTTCCGCGTTGTAGGGCGTTGAATTTCGATTAAATGATCGGTTGGGGTTATAAATACATTTGGGGATACAAGACGAATGGTATTGGTTGGACTAAAAATACAATGTTGGGAAGGGGAGGGGGGGGGGAGGTAGAGGTCGAGGACCCGTGTTTATCACCCAATTGCAGGGGATACCAGTTGGCTCTAGAGATTCTAGTCCTGGCAATTTAACTGGAGTCGCTCAAGGTCGCCGATTTGAATCCCGATGAATAGTTGCTGGGGGAATTGGTGGCGAATTGTCATTTACCAACTGATGACGCGAGGATCGTTAACCTCTGATCGTGTTTAGGCCAGGCGCCAAAGCCCACGGANAGGGGGGGGGGGGGGGGAGGTAGAGGTCGAGGACCCGTGTTTATCACCCAATTGCAGGGGATACCAGTTGGCTCTAGAGATTCTAGTCCTGGCAATTTAACTGGAGTCGCTCAAGGTCGCCGATTTGAATCCCGATGATTAGTTGCTGGGGGAATTGGTGGCGAATTGTCATTTACCAACTGATGACGCGAGGATCGTTAACCTCTGATCGTGTTTAGGCCAGGCGCCAAAGCCCACGGAATTGAAATCGGGTGACCCACAATCAGCATTCTTTCAACTTCTTTTTTAATCCAATCGCGATTAATCGGCTGGTTGTTCGCGTTTTTAAGCGTTAATGATTTGGGATTGGCTCGGGGACATTCGCCGATTTTTTACTTCATTTTGAAGGTTTTTTTTGGAGCGGAGACGTGTTTTATTCAAACCGCGGAATCTGCGCGGAAAATATCGCTCAACTGCCGCAGATTTGATCAAATACCTCTGAATTTGAGAATGTTTTTAATCTATAATAACTCGAGATCACTTGGGGGATATTTGTCAATTTTTTTAGATTTTAAAATTAGATGAACGATATTAATGATTAAAAAAGCTCTGGTTTTTTTCAAACAGTTCGGGGTTTTCATTAATATGTTGCAATATAATGCAAATTGCGAAATTTTCGTTCGATTTCCTCATTTTTCTCTTCAAAAAGTCCTCTGGAATGTTTTGGCTATTCACAATAGCAATGAAAATATTCATAAAAGGATCATTCTAGAATGAAATCAACTTGCGAACATGAAGTTCATCTCATTTTCTCCATTGTCAATAATTACCGATTTACAAACTGAAATTTCAGAACGTTTCTTTCAATTTTATTCATTTCTTTGATGTTACAAAAGCTTTCTTTGTTCCAAATCTTCAAACGCCTTTTCATCTTCCATCTTCTTCTTTTGAACAAGGTTATAAATATTCTTATAATGGTAAATAGAACTTGTTTTTTCATTTTCAATATATTTTTTCGGTCTTCAAAAGAAGACGTGACTCGTCTAAATCGTACGATTCAACCTACAGATATTAATGATTAAAGAAAGTTTGAGTCAAGATTTTTTTAACAATCCGAGTTTTTGCTGAGTATCTCTCAATCTAATACAAATAGCGAAATTGCCGTCCACCTCTCACTTTTCTCTTCTAAAAGTCCCCAGGAAACTTTCGCTCTCTCCAATAGCCATCGAGATATTCGTAAAAGGTTTACTTCAGAATAAAATCGGTTTGCCTCGTTGAATAGAAAAGAAAAAATTGCATGGAATGAAGCATTCTCAATTGTCCGAATTTTTTTTCTCATTTTCAAGATATTTTTTCGATCTTCAGAATGAGACGTGACGTGTCACATCTAAATCGTATCATTTAGTCTTGAGATTTTAATTATTAAAGAAACTTTGAGTTGAGATTTTTTAAACAATCTTAGTTTTTGTTGAATATTTCTCAATCTAATCCAAATAGCGAAATTTCCGTCCGAATCTCTCACTTTTTTCTTCAAAAAATCCCCCAAAAAGGTTCGCCATCTCCAATAATCCACGAGATATTTATTTATTTCTTGTATGTCACATATACTCTATTCGGTTTTTTACGTTCGTCTATTAAATTTTTTAACACAAAAAAGTAGAGCGATTCCCTCCTCCAAACACCCACGAGATACTCACAAAAGGCTTATTCTAGAATAAAATCAACGTGCACCGTTCAATAGAAAAGAAAGAATCACATAAAATGAAGCATTCTCTATTTTCAGTAACTCCCAATCGACAGATTTAAATTCCACAATTTCAGTAACGAAATGGTCAAACGGTTTAAGTCGATTTTGGCTATTGGCCAGTTTTCAATGAATATCTCTAAATCTAAAGGAGATAGCAAAACTTTTCTCATAACCTTTTTAGTAGCCCTCAATTCGCTCTACAAAAAAGGTGATTATAAAAATTTCGCTATTTCCCTTAAATTCGGAAATATTTCTGGAAAACTCAACTAAAGACTAAATTGACTTAAATCGTTTGACCACTTCGCTACTGATTTTATTTTCATTCTCAAGATATTTTTTCAATTTCCAAAATGAGACGAGAATCATTCCAGTCCTCCCATTTACTCTAAACATATTCATAATCAAAGAACATCTGAGATTGAATTTTCAGAACCATCTGAAGCGAACCGCATAAAATTGAAACTATTTCTCGCCCCCAAAACCACCTAAAAAGCTCTATTTCATCTAAACAATTTCGCCTGCTCCCGAGATATTAATGATTTCCGCAGTTCCATTTTACCTCGCCCTCCCCCAGCAATTATTACCAGTCTGCGATATTTGGAATATCTCCAATGCCACTGGCATTAGTCAGGCATTACCCCACTCACTCGCATTCTCCCCGACCGCCGGCATTTCCCGAATCCGCTTAAAACTTCATCAAGCTCTTTTTCAAATAATAAAACTCAAAATCACGTCTACCCGCTTTTCCGTTAAGTTGCGTCACCAAGGCCCGCATCTAAAACCGATCCCCGATGTCTCACACAAAAATATCTTCAGATCTCCTCCCTCTCCTTTTTTTTCCCCCCCCTATCATTTCGTTTAATCACCAGATTTCAAGACTTGCGTAAACAAACGACTCATCAGTTCCCTCATTGTTGAACATAGATTCCTCCTGTTTCCCGGCATTTATCCACAAAACATTGTAAAGATATCTTTTCATTCCACTCGACAACTCCACCCGTCTTTTAACATTCTTCTTATTGCAACGTCTGGGAGAGGAAAGGGCGTGTCCCAAGAGGTTTTTCGTTTCCGTTCCGACGATTTGGCACGACGTGTCATTTCTGCGAATTGAAATATTTAGTTTCTCCATTTTTTTTTTCTTCACTCGAGTGTTATATTTGTCATTGCATCACGTGGGGGGATTACCCCGTACATCGCTGAGTCGTGATTGATGTCTCATAGGTGCAAGAGACACGAGGAAGTTGAACTCCAGTAACCGATTGGCCTTATTTTACGTTCCTGGAGTTTTTGATGATGAAAAATTATTATACTGACACCATTTTTTTTGTTATTTATCGACTACAAGTCGTCTTCCCCCCCCCCCCCCCCCC